TAGACCTAATTCTGTTCCCTTGGAGTAGCCTGGAAATATAATATGTAACAGATGCAATAAAATAAGAAGTATATCTGGAAATTTTGATAACACCTTTGGAGCCATATTTTATCATGTTGCAATTTTTTGCCTTTTAAGCTTCTTCCTGCTACAGTGATTACATTTCCTAAATAGGTGCTTTTATTTTGGTTCAATAACTAGAGAGATGAAGGCATTTTAAAAATGGGCTTTTGTGGAACAGTAATAATAATAACCATCATTGTCACAAGAATAACAATATTAACAATGATGATAATTATAATTTGCAGGAATGTGTGTCCTTTATAAAGCTTCGTATCCAGGACCACAGAAGAAATATTCATCATTACTCAAACAGAAAGAAGAAAGTTATACTTACAGCCATCTAAGTTTGTCAAGTCCAGAGAAAGCACCATTCATATCTTCAATTGTCCATGAGATTTCATTATTTTTAAGGTCTCTGTAATGAGGGGAGAAAAGTATTTTAAATCAGTCCCAAAATATAAAAAAGGTGTACATGTTTGAAATCACAACTTGTATAACTCTTAAGTTTATAATCTTTTATGTGTGTTTGTGTGCTTCTGAGTCAATATTGACTCCTGGCAATGACCTAGAGAGGTTACTGCAGTTTTCTTGGCAAAGAAGTAATTTCCATTATCTTCTTTCTAGATCTGACAGAGAGTGACTGGCCCAAAATCACCCAGCTGACTTTGTGAATGTCTTCTGGTTTCTAGCCTCACACCTTAACTACTACACTAAGTGATTCTGTATCTGCAGTTTAGATCATGTTAATACTTATTCTACTGAGAAAAAAAGACTCAATATACTATTCAGTTCACTAAGCATTGATCACACTTTTTCAATGGTAGTCCCATCTGCAAGCCATAAAGTAAAATGTGATTTTATGGTATCCTACTGCTTTTAATGCTTTTACCAAACATACAGGGCTTTTATGCATCATAAAAATATTTTGGCTTCCCCATTAGAAGAGCTGCTATGCCAGTAGCAAGTGAAGGGAGTTAACAAGGCAAGCAGGCTACTAACTGTAACAGAGACTTAACAGTTGGATTAATGTACGTGAATGGTACCAAAGATCAGTAACTTCTTACACTTCAAACAAGTTATTATAGATAACACAAAGAGAATTCAAGAGGTTAAGATCATTGTCTGATTTGTATGTCATAATATGAGTTGGAATACAGCTATCTCCATCAATGGCACATATGACATGTAAACATCAGTGCATGTGGGCAACAATAGCAAATACATGGGTGAGTGCTTCTATAATAACAGCAACAATATGTGATGTTTCTTGTGGTTGCCACTCTTTTCCATTATGCCATTATGCAGATTACAACACCACAATTGAAAGCTTTTCAATGGTAAACCCACAGCTAAAAGTTGGCAACAATGCTCCTGTGAGTATCATAGGATATATGACTCCAAATATGTAATGTCTGAAAAATCCAAAATTACTGTGAGAAGTTTTATATCCAAATATATTTTATTCTTTATACTGTTTCCATCTTCCCTTAAACTATTAACATAATCCACAATGGTCTGAGAATCAGTGTCTCCAAGTTAATCAAATTAGCAAACTTCCTCAAACTCTGAAATACGTTACCCAGACCTAATAATGTACATATCAAGTCTGCAAACACAAATAGAGTTAAATTGTCTCCTAGAAGAACTATATGTTCACAGGAATACACCCCACACCCACACCCTCACACTACGTAGATACTTCTACACCCTGGACAAGCTCCCCTTATAAAAGCTTGGCTCTGTACCCCATTTCTCTGTAGCCTGTCCCTAAAAGCAAACTGTTTTATTTTTAGAAATAAATATTTCTTCTTTCCTCACAACTGTCTGGATCTCATTTTTATTTATTCTTGTGCAGCCTGGCTCGAATTGGAACCCCAAGTTATTCTTCTGACATTAAATATTTTTATGCACATGAAATTCTATCTCCAAATCTTTCAATATTTTGTGTTCCTTCCCAAAATCATGCTGTTGGAGTTTCACACACCCCTCCCCCCATGATGGCACTGTATGGCATGTTTTGTATTGTAATTCCTTATTTCTATAACAATCTGTCTAGGTTTTTAATTAGATAATTTAAAATGGAAATTCATGAAAGATTAAGCAATATGGTTTTTTGTTTTTTTTTAGTTTTGGTGCTTTTAAATTAAAAGTCCTTGGTTCTAAGTTAATCTGTATTAAGAAACTTGCACCTATTACTAAATTTTCTGTAGTATTCCAGTGTTTCTAAACCTTGGCAACTTTAAGATGTATGGACTTCAACTACCAAAATTCAAATGCTGGCTAGGGTATTCTGGGAGTTGAAGTCTACACAATAGTTGAAAAACACTGGAGTAGTCTTTAGTTCTAATATTTTTTTATATATAATGCAGAATTGTGAGTCACTCAGAGTCATTTGCTGAGATGGGTGGCTATAGAAATCAAATAGATTAGATAGATAGATAGATGACAGATATATTAGATAGATAGATAGATAGATAGATAGATAGATAGATAGATAGATAGATAGATGCCAAGAGTCACTTTGTTGAAATGAGCGGCTATAGAAATTGAATAATAAACAAACAACACTCAGCTGTGGGGGGGGGATCTTTAAACAAGTTTTTTTGACACTTACAGAATTTGTAAACTGGATAGTCCCTGGAACGCGCAATCTGCAATGTCGCTGACTTTGTTGTTCCCAATATCCAGCCTTACCAGTAGGCTTAAACCAACAAAGCTTGAATCTTCTAGTTTTGCTAAATTATTATACTTTAAATCACTGCAAATTTAAAAAAAATGGGGGCAATGTTGTTTTAAATCAGCATAAGCAAAACATTCAAGCTAAGAATGCAACTTCTCAATTAGTTTCAGAATAATTCATTTTTAATTCAAGTTTGTGGCTTATTTTCCATGACATGTAATATTATTGCAGAACTAGTTTCTATTATTTGAAATTACAGAAACAACGTCCAAGTGTTACTGGTACAAAGAAACACAATTGACTTCAGGTTCTTGCAAGGAAGCATCAATGAATTCAGCACATGCACATAAAAGCAAATGTACTGCTTTCATGTAAAGTTGTTCTTTCAGACATACTTTGACCTGCATCCTACTTTTAAAATAGAGGAGAGCTAAAGACACACACACAAACTCACACACACACACACAAACTCACTACTCACAGCTCACTGAGTTTTTGGCAAAACTCCCAGGCATCAGGTCTGATCCTGCTGATTGCATTTTGGCTAAGATGAAGCTGCTGTAACATCAACAAGCCATAAAGCCAGCCTTTGGAAATCTCTGTTAGGTTGTTATGATCCAGCTGCCTAAGAATACAAAATGAAAACCCAATTTATAGCTTCAAGCTTTAACCATTTAAAATATGTCAAGAATCTTTCTCATAAAAACAAGCTAAAAAAATATCATTTTGTACATAAATATTTTGTGAACAAATTAGTCCTCAAACACAATTAATTCTAATACTCAGAATGGTTCTTTCTTGAAGACTGTGAAAATATGCACTTACAGAATTTCCATGTTACTTAATCCCCAAAAAGCTCCATCCATGAGCCAAACAAGCCCATTTTTCTGTATTTTTAATGATTTCAAAGAAGGCAGTCCTTGAAAAGTAAGTCCGTCTATTTTTTTAATTCTGTTACGGCTCATCTCTCTGAAGGGAAAAAAATATTCCATGTTATTGTAGGTAAATTCAAGTTTCTAAGCACTGTGTGTGTGGTCCTATGTCTTTATATGTTTAACAGAAATACAAAACATTCTTTTTAAACCAGACTTCGCTTTTAACAAAAAAATACTGAACTCTTAAGGCACAACAGTGCCAATAATTTTGAATGTCTTTCAAGCCTATTTTACTTTTTTTTAAAAAAAACTTGAAAATTATGTTGCCAGGAATTCAGGGGGTTAAGTTAACAATTTTAGGAAATTATTTGCTATCTATGGGTGTGTGTGAGTCTGCGTGTGTTTGGTGCTACTTCTGATGTTCTCTTATGGAACATTTAAAATGTTGGTTAGATTTGCTGTAGGTAACATCTTTTTCGGCACCTTAATTTTTTAAACTATGTTCTATATCTGTCACTTCTATAATTGTTATTCTTTTTACCCATGCGAACTCTGGAGCAGTTTTTCCTTCATCCCCATCTCAAATCTTCTGTAATTTAAAATGTTACTAATGAATTATTACAAGCAATAAAAAAGAGTAATTCAGTAAGTGCATGCTAGCTTTCTGTGATGCAGCCTCTTTTTAAGCTTTTGCAGTGACTCTTATGAAACCCCTCAAATACCAAACTATTAGCATTCAGATTCTTGATATTTGTATTTATTTATTTCTATCCAGCCTTTATTATTTTTATAAATAACTCAAGGAGGCAAACATATCCAACACATCTTCCTCTTCCTATTTTGCCCACAAAAACAGCCTTATGAGGTGGGTTGGGCTGAGAGAGTGTGACTAGCTCAAGGTCACCCAGCTGGCTTTTATGGCTAAGTAAAAAATTGTAGATGTTTCACGTCCGAGATTTTACAAATTCCTTTTCCATGTTCAATATACATAATCATACTTTGCTGTTGTTGATCATATCAATTTACTTGAAGCCTAGTTGCTTGATTACCTTTGTTTTCCTCTTCCAAATATGAAATGACTATGCTGCATTATCTTAGAAGCTTCTGGAAAATGAATGTACATCATGGAGTACAAAATAGATGCCTTCCAGAATTTTCTGGATCTAGTTCAAAAGACGTATGAGCTGATTAATATCATTGCCTCGAAATCCAGGATTACCAATCTCTTTCTGGAATCCCAGAAAGGGATAATGCGGGATTGGAACTCATGATCTTCTGCTTTCTAGCTGGTACCTTAGGGATCAGAAACTTTTTTAAGCTGTAGGAACTTAAGTTTTTATGAGAATGTTTTATGAAAATGTTTGTGTTAAATTATTTTTTTATATTGATATGTGATCTTCTGGTTCAGTAACTGCTCATTATTCTATTATGGTTATTTCATCATACTAATTTTATGCAGCTTAGAATTTTTCACTGAATTGGCATCGATCCTCAAAATTGTTGTATTTATTTGCATCCCTAAAATCTGACACTTCTCTACTAATTTTCTCACGTTGCAGTTTACACATTCAGCATTTTAATCAGTTTCTCACTTTACTTTTCTTAACAAAAGTAATTAGTCATCAAGGAGGTTACTTTGGGAGTCTGGGAGTAGAATAGCGAATGATGAAGGTTCGGCCATGTGGGGAAAACAAGTAACTTCTTTCTTTGGTACAGTCAGCCTTTAACAATGTACCCTGTCAATATTTTTAGTGATTTACTAACAATGAGAGAAAATAATCTAAAGAAAATGTCTTATCTTCCTTCCATACTATAAACCACAACAGCATTACAAGTATCTTATTTCAGGCAATGCAAACAAAATAAATTAATATAAACATTCAGAATGTGGGGCCAGAATTGTGTTTTTGTTGCATCTAAATCTTTTCTGAATTTATGTGATTGCTTTAGGGCTAATGTTCAACCATTGAAGGAAGCCTACAAAAATCAATGAAAGGAACAAGGCATTTGGAGGATGTACTCACAGATGTTGGAGATGGGGAAGTTTAAACATTTTCTGTGTAATGGTTGAAATGCGGTTCTTGTTCAACTTCAAGACTTGAAGTGTGTTAGCCAAGTTGTCAAAAATGCCTGGATCCAGTGAAACTATCCGATTGTTGCTAATGTGGCTGGGAAAGAAGGGCAGAATAACATATCTGGAAATGTTGAAATTATGTACTCAAATCCTAATAATCTGCTCTTTACTCATCTTAATCTTCATTTTAAAAGTCCTTGTCTTATCAGATAACAGATAATCAGAGTGGGAAAGGACCTTGTAGGTCATCTAGTCCCCCCCCCCCCCCCCCGCCCAAGTGGGAGACCCTACAACATTTCTGACAAATGGCAATCCAATCTCTTCTTAAAATTCACAAGTGAAAACGCTCCCACAATTTCCAAGGGCAAGCTGTTCCATTGGTTGATTGTTCTCACTGTCAGAAAATTTCTCCTTATTTCCAGGTTAAATCTCTTCTTGTTCAGTTTCCATCCATTATTCCTTGTCTGGCCTACAGGTGCTTTAAAAATAGCTTGACCCCCTCCTCTCTGTGGCAGCCCCTCAAATATTGGAAGACTGCTATGTCTCCCCTGGTCCTTCACTTCACTAGACTAGCCATGCCCAGTTCCTGTAACTGTTCTTCATATGTTTTAGCCTCCAGTCCCCTAATCATCCTGGTTGCTCTTCTCTGTACTTTTTCTGGTGTCTCAACATCTTTTTTATGGTGTGGTGACCAAAACTGGATGCAGTACTCTAGGTGTGGCCATACTAAGGCTTTATAGAGTGGTATTAGTACCTCCCTTGATCTTGATTGTATCTCTCTGTTAATACAATTTAGGATTGCATTAGCTTTTTGGCTGCTGCTGCACATGGCTGGCTCATATTTAGCTGGTTGTCCACTAAGACTGCAAGAGACCTCTTACAGTTACTGCTATGGAACCTGGTTTCATCCAATCTATATGTGTACTTTTGGTGTGTTTTTTTTGCCTAAGTGTAGGACTTTGCTTTTCTCTATGTTGAATTTCATTTTGTTAGATACAGCCCAGTGTTCAAGTCTGTCAAGATCCATCTGGATTTTGAGCCTATCTTCTTGGGTGTTAGCTATTCCTGCCAGCTTGGTATCATCCACAAATTTGGTAAGTTCCCCTTCTATTTCCCCAGGTAAGTCATTTATGAAGATATTGAAGAGTACTGCGCCAAAGACAGAATCTTATGGCACCCTACTGCTTACTTCTCTCCATGTAGACTTAGACTCATTAAGGACTACTCATTGAGTACAATTTGTAAGCCAGTTGCGAGTCCATCTGGTGGTGGTGTTATCTTTTTCACTTTTTTTCTAGCTTACCAAGACGTAGGCTGTGGTCTACCTTGTCGAATGCCTTGCTGAAATCTAAATATATTCAGTCCACAGTATTTCACAGGTCTACTAATTTAGTCACTATGTTGAAGAATGAAATAAGATTGGTTTGCATGATCTGTTTTTAACAAACCCATGCTGACTGCTAGTTATTACTTTACTTGTTTCTAGATGTTGGCAGATCTGTTTTTTATTATCTTTTCCAGTATCTTCCCGGGTATTGATGTTAGGCTGATTGGTCTATAGTTTCCTGGGTCTGATTTTTTTTCCCTTTTTTGAAGATGGGAACCACATCAGTACTTTTCCAGTCCTATGATAATTACCCAGTGCTCCAGGATTTTTGAAAGATATGGTGCAGTGCTTCTGAGACAACCTATGTCATCTTCTTTATCAGTGAATAACTGTCACTTTGAACAGTTCTTAAAAGTCAGAGAATCCCCCACATTGATTCCAAAGAAATATAATTTACAATTTACATTAATCCTGAAATGACAGTGATTTAAAAATATTAAACCAAATTTTAAATACTTTCAAAATATTAAACTGAAAAATGTGATTCTTTTTCAAAATAGCCTCAAATACTTATTTTTTATTAAATATATTAAATATTAAATACTTTTTTTTAAAAAAAAAGTATAGTAATTATGATGAAAAGGATTATGAATGAATCAGTTGGCTCAATCAACAGTCCAGTAAATTTTCGTTTGATTAAAGTGATGGTTCTCTCTTGAGATTCCAACTGCTGTCCTATACAACTTTTAATGGACATTCCTGACTCTAAATTGTAGGCATTATGTTCACCACTACTTAATGAAGCTATGAGAACAGACTTCTATGCAAATATAACATCCACTGTGCATAGAGTAAGGATAACATCAACAAAAAGCAAAATCTGCACAAGGCACTATTTTTCCCAAATTATTTTAATAATAGTCATGTGAACATGTGTTATTATTTTGAATTTTATATTCAATCAACTCTAACCAGGAAGTGGATAGCATAATAGACCATTAATAAGTTCCAAAGTACGCTGGTCTGTGTGGGCATTTTTAACCTATTTTCTTTAAGGTCAGATGTTAGGAGTAAAAAGGGAAGGGAAGGGAAGGGAAGGGAAGGGAAGGGAAGGAAAGGAAAGGAAAAGGAAAGGAAAGGAAAGGAAAGGAAAGGAAAGGAAAGGAAAGGAA